AAAATGCGTGTGGGTACTCAAATGAAAGCTCTTGATGAGTGTAACACCAGGATGAGCTTATATCTTCAAAAATGTCAATATTTAAGAAAGTACAGTGCAATTTAACAAAAGTCATTAATTAATAAAGCAAAATTTTATTTATTTATAGTTCACAAGTCATGGCAGTTTCATAGTGACTGCAAAGTTGCTAGTTACAGATGTAATTGAATTGATAAAGTTTTAGCTTTTATCGATTATTTGATGGATTTAGTAAATTTAAAAGGGGAAGAAAAGTCAAATCAACAATGTGTCAGCTGACTATTTCACATAGGGGTCAAATATATTATCTATGTTTGTACAAAATGATCAGTTGGGGTAATATAATGTCTACACATTGGTTGCCTCTTGGCATATGGCATGCTGGGTTTAGTTGTTACAATTTAAAAACTGATGCGGTATATATAAGGGTTTGTATTGTAAACTTTGATGAGTCATTTATAAAACACAATTAAGCTAATATTATTGAGTGACCCTATTCTTAGTTTAATCAAGTCAAACAAAAGTAAAAAATTATATAGAAGGCCGATGATAATAGATACCCATTATATTATAATTTATAATACAAGTCAAGTCTTGGTATCGTCAGTTTTACTTAATTTAAAGAAGGCTAAATAGTATAAACCGTAACGTGGACTTTCAATGGTTTTGTGTGTAACAATAAGTATAAACTTTTAGGACACACAAAGCGAATAATAGAATAGGGACTTTAGAATACTAACAAAACCGGATAAAATCAGACGAGACTGCGAGATTCTACAATAAAAGGATTCAACGATCCTTTAAGGCGTGGCATTCCCAATGCGGGCACGTGGCCGAGCCAAAAAAATATTTCAATCATCTGTTTCCGGCGTGATATTATTTTGACTGCATTTTCCAAGAAATTTATTCTGTTCTTTTGAATTTAGCTTGTTATACATGTTACATGTATTATTTTTTGCAAAATCTGGAAAATACAAATTTTTTTTAAAGTAATTTACTTGAAAAATTTTTTACTTAGAGATCAAAAATACGAAGATTTAATTCGATGATGATCATATTTTTTTTTTTATTTCATTATCTTACTCTAATACTTTTAAAAATTTTTCTCAGTAACTTAAAAGAAGAATTTTGAAGAATTTAATTGTCTTGAATGAAGCAAAAAAATTTTTAAATCAAATATAATTTATTTAAACTGTTTTAAATTAAAAGAATTTAAATTAAATTCTTCAAAATTACTTTTTTAGATCAAATTTATTTTTGGTAATTATTTACAAGTATACCATCTAAAAATTTATAAATTTTTTAAAAAATTGTGATATTCAACTTTTTTTTTTAATGTACTTTTCAAAAAAAAATATATCAAAAAAAGATAAAATAGAAATTTTATCCAAAAACATAAGCCAAAATTTTTTCCAACTTTTGAAGGCAAAAAAGCTATTGAAATCTGTATTTTATTTTTTCACGATATTTTTTATCATAAATGCGCCGTAAAAACAAGTAGAATAAAAAAAATTTTTAAATATTGATTTTTCACCGAGATATGGCCAAAAATACGTTGTAAATAATTGCCTTATTTTTAATCAATGTATGAATTTATCAGAAGAAGTATTTTATTATACAGTACAATTTGTTTCTAAATTATTTCAACCAATTTAAATATTCAAATTTCATCATTAAAAATGTTTAATTTGTTCAAAAAAAATTTTAAATTTCTTCAAAAGAAATTTTTGGATCATTCGAATGATTAATAAGTTTTATCAAACGGTAATTATTTAAAATTGCAGCTCCAAAAATATTTTATCATGAAATAATTTTTTTGAAGTTTATCAAAAGTGGAATATTAAAAAAAAATTCTATAACTTTATTTTTCTTACGGCTAAAAATTGAAAAATTTTTTTCGTAAACTCAATTAAATTTAAAAAAGTCTAGACATTTTTTTGTCAGTTAAAATTAATTAAATATTGCGATTGGTATTATTTAGAGCAAATAGTGAATTTAAAAAATATCGATTGAATATCTATAAAATAAAACTAACTCTATTTGGTTGCACGTGCCAACTCCGTCGCTTTCCATGACGTTGTAATCCATCTTCAGCTAGGGTGAGGTCCGCTCTGCTGCCCCCAAGGCATCCTCCAGTGTCGTACTGACCCACTAATAGTCTCAGTCTGTTCCCTGGACATATTCCCTAGAATAATAGAAGTAATGAGTTTTATCCAGGCGCACATATATCCTTATATCCTTTTATAAATAATGCATGTAATAAAATAATGTACATCAGTAATCTCATTAAGTTATACTGAGGAATACATTTATAAATGTATTTCTTGATGCAAGATAGATTTAACAGACAGATGTTGAACTGAGAAAATGCTTTCAGCGGCTGCGCGAGACAACTTCTCATGTGTTTAAATAAATCGCTGATTTGCAGCTGTTTCAATCCAAATAAAAATAAACAATCAAATGAGTTTCGAGATTGTAAAAGCAGAAGAAAGTAGTTATTAAATATATTTTAAAATATCCTGACGTTGAAATAATAATTTTTCTTAACTAATTTATTTTTATATTAATTGAAGATTATTTATTACCTGTCGGCCTCTTAGAGCGCACAGCCACCATCCTTCTAAGCCTGAAGTATTTTGTTCCAAAACTGTGAGGACATCACCTTTACGAAATGCCAATTCATCCGGTGCCTCGGCAATGTTGTCATACAGCGCACGTGCTTTTACACATTTTTGCTGTAACAATAACAAAATTATTTTAATCATTTTGAAGCAATATAATCTTTACAAAAAATTTTTAAAGAACAAACGTTAGATTATTCATTAATTTTTTTACAATGTAAAACAAAGTTTTGTATCTTGGAAAAAATAACTCTTGATGAGTGTAATATCGGGATTAGCTTATATTTTTAAAAATGTCAATATTTAAGAACATACAGTACAATTTAACAGAAATAAGAAATGACCTTATATCTTGTGAACTATTGACATTTCTGAAGAAATAAACCCATCCCGATGTTACACTCACCAAGACCTTTCATTTGAGTACCCACATCAATTTTTCATATATTTATATATATTATATATATATATATGTATATATGACAAATATATCAAAAATGCATGTGGGTACTCAAATGAAAGCTCTTGATGAGTATAAAATCAGAATGAGCTTATATCTTTGAAAATATCAATATTTAAGAACATACAGTACAATTTAACAGAAATAAAAAATGACCTTGTATCTTGTGAACTATTGACATTTCTGAAGAAATAAGCTCATCCCGATGTTACACTCACCAAGACCTTTCATTTGAGTACCCACATCAATTTTTTATATATTTATATATTTTATATATATATGTATATATAAAAAATATATGAAAATGTATGTGGATACTCAAATGAAAGCTCTTGATGAGTGTAACATCGAAATGAGCTTATATCTTTAAAAATTTCAAGATTTATGAACATACAGTACAATTTAACAAAAGTCAAGAACAAACGTTAGATTATTCAATCATTTTTTTACAATGTATAAAACAAAGTTTTGTATCTTGAAAAAAATAACTTAGATCAAAATAACTCTACTTAGGTATAAGATCTAATATATTACATTTTGAGATCAGCTAAGATAAAAGTAGACCAACATAAATCTCAATAGATCTACGTGTATCAATTTGTTTCGTTCATTTTTAGATCTACCTTGATCTAAATAGATTTTTTTTCTTATCTAAAACGTTATAATACAGATCTAATTTGTTTTAATTTTCGGTAAAAACTTTTATTTTGTATTTTTTCTAAGTAACGTTTTTGAAAAAAATTAGTGATTTAATTTTTATGTAACCTGTTGACAAATTGTTATTATTTTTATTCAAATTATTTTTATTAAAATTTTTTCTACTCAAATCAAGAAGATGAAATTTTTCAAAATTATTTACTTGATTCAAGTTAATTTTTTTTTCTGTGTAAAAAATTTATATGGACGAATAAAATACTGGATTGAAGATAGAAATCTTGTATTTCATTAAAACTTATATCATTTATAAACACAAAAGAGAGTTAAATGATATTTAAGTTAAGTGTTTAATATACTAGCTTAAAAAAACATTATACACTTGTTTGTATTACCGCCTTCTTTAAAATCATTCAATTAAATAAGCGACAGTTTACGTTATTACATAAATGCTCCAAATTGATAATGTAACGACGTAGTTATTTTTACAAGAATTCTATTTTAAAAATCTTAAGTATTCTGTATTCGAGCTCGAACAAATAACACATTTTACAAATAAAAGCGTGGTGACATTTCGTAATTTCTCTTCAATATTTTATTCTACAGACAAAAGATACATTAAGCCCTAATTATTTTCAGACTAATAAATATATCTGATTATTTAAATGTTTCAAAATTTTTTAACTTCTGGATTGAATCTAAAATGTAATTACGACTTTGGCAATAGTGATTTATTTAAAAATATGAAAGTAGAACACTTAAATAACATTACGAAAGTGAAGATTCTGTTATTCTAATTTGGAACACTTTAATTTTGTTAATTATTTAAATTGCTCGACTAATTGAATACATACATTACAACTGATGGTTGGTTGATTGATTTAGTTAGTCAGATAATTGATGCTTACGTTACAATGATTTATTATTTTTTTTCTATTATTACCGGTTCGAAAATAAAAAACTATGTACATAATTAAGAATAAGATGGGCTACTTAAACTTAGATTATAAAATTCAAAGAAACGCACTGAGAAAAAAATTTCTCATAAAAATCTTTCAATCAAAAAATTAAAAAATAATTTTAAATTAATTTCCTTGTAATTTAATTTTATAAAATAAACATGACATTAAAGTTAGCAGTCACTTGAAAATTTTTTAATTTTTTTTAGCAAAAAAATTTATTCTAAAAAATTATTTTTAAAAAATTGCATTTTTAATTTATTAAAATTTCTACAAGTCCATTTTTTTTAATAATTTTTTTTTGCCATAATTTATTCATTAAAGAAAATTTAAAAAATTGTGAAATGACAAAAATAATAGATAATAATTTAAAATAAATTTATTTGCTTCAATAATAAAAAATTTTTGACCGTCTCATAGAATAGTTGTCAATTTAGAGGTAATCTTTTGAAAGCTTTAATAGTATTTCCAGCAAGACGGATGAAGGAGGTAGCCATAAATATTTGTATACAGTTATGTAATTCATTACTATTAACATATCTTCTCAGGCGTAAACATTTTTCGAGTTAATAAATCCATTATTCAATTTTTTATCTGCCCAAGTCCTTCTTAATTACACAGACCTATAATTTTATAGGCATCTTAATCAAATAAAAAAATGAACCAATCTTTCATGGGATCCATCAGATCAGGTATAGGTATAAAAAGCCCACTTTAAAACCCGGTTGTTGTGGACAAACTCGATGATGTCAATGTGTCTACGCGTCATCAATCTTGTTAGATATCGGATTATTAGCCATTCGTGCGCACGTACTGAACTAAATCAAATCATTAATAGCGACAGTGCATCTCAATAGTTGGGGTTGACACCCCGTATGCAATCCCTTTCAACGACGTAATAAGATTTTACTTCACAGCAGATAGTACGTGACTATTAGATAAAAATAATACGTGTCAATTGTACTTTTTCATGCACAATATAATTTTCAACAGCACATATTTCAGTTTGTGAATTCAATATCATTACTCTTGTTTTATTTTATTTCATTCTTGGCCTTTTATCTCATATTTTTTTTTTCCTTTCATTTCTTGTTCATTTATTCTATCCCACGCGGCAGATTTTATGAGTCTGCCTGCTCCGTACCTTTTCTGTTTGTTAACCGCTCCTGGTTATATTCTTCCCAGAAGGTAAACCTCCAGTCTCAAGTTGTCCTGGTAATATCAAAACAGCACAACCAAAGCATATAGTTAGTTAGTTAGGTTACACTCGTTTCAAGGACCACTTGAAGCTATTTATCAGAGAGTCATTTGCCATAGTGTAGAAAACTAGTCTCTCCTCGGTTGTTATAAGAATTATGACCAGACCTGAACCATCGTGCTGACACATGGCGTCCAGATCTCTATTCACACACGTCATGTCACTGAAAAATTATGAATAACACTGAATTCTTCAATATGTTGTCTTTTTACCCAATTTCTTTTTTTTTCCCTATGGATCATCAACTCTGGTGTCTCCAAGCTGTATTAGCATTTTTTTCAGGACAGATTCTTTGGATTTGACTCCTTTGGGACGGAACAGACCTATATCTTCTGTCCAGATGGATTAGGAGTTATCAGTTACATACTTATCTTTTTCTCTCATCTTCTTTCTCTTCCGAGAATTCTTCCTTAAAAAAATTGGTGTTATTTATTTAATGACAAATTGAATCAATTTCACTGCAATGTTTAAAGGGTATCAGGGGTTTTGATCCTCTGATAAAATATCCCCACACAGAAAAAAAGGTTCACAAGCCGAGATAATATTTTTCTTCTTAATTATTTTCTTGAACAAAAAAATTTTTTTTTGATAAGAAAGTTCACTTCCAACAAAATTAATTCTCTTGCTTTAAGAAATATGTATCTTGGTCTAAGAAAATTTATTTAAGTCAAGAAAATCCGGTTTTGAGAAAATTCTCTCTTGCTCCAAAAAAATTTAGTTCTTGATAGAAGTAAATTTTCATTAATATTTTCATTGATTAACATGTCAACTTTTTTTTTTAATTATTCATTTTTTTTCATGTACATGGAAAGAACAAGATGACATTGGATACCATCCCAAATTATACTGAGTGAAAAAAATTCAGACAGTAGATTGTACAATCCAGATTACAATGAGAATAATCCAGATATCCCGCAGTATAATCTGGATTTTTCTACACAAAAAAAAGGTTCACTTGAGCCAAAGAAAATCTTTTTCTTCCTAATTATTTTCTTGGGTGAAAAAAAAATTTTTTTTTGACAAGAAATTTTACTTATTCCAACTAAATTAATTCTCTTGCTTAAGAAATACGTATCTTGGTCTAAGAAAATTTATTTAAGTCAAGAAAATCTGTTTTTGAGAAAATTCAGCCTCTTGCTCCAAAAAATTTAGTTCTTGATATAGAAGTAAATTTTCTTGTCTTGAGAAAATTTCTCTCTTGCTCCAAAAAATTAAATATAAAGATAGAAGTTAATTTTCATTAATATTTTTATTGATTAACATGTCACAGGAAGATCAAATAATATTAAATCATTTTTTTTCATTCAATATGTATAATTGCACGCTAAAATAATATAAATTGGTTATCAAATATTCAAGAGAAAAATTTTGTTCTCCAGTCAAGAAATTTTTCTTTCTGTGTATTTTTCACAAAACATCTTCTACATTTCAGTGTAAAACAGAATACATCTTATGAACACCAAAGAAGAATATGTAAAAGAAAAAAAAACGAGTCGGTCGTTTAACTTGTCTCAGACTTCTGAATGCATATGTGAAACTCAATAGACTTACTGTTGTATGATAGGCATTGTTGTCACTCTTCAGAGCCACTTACGAAAGCATCACAGAGAAGCCTTGGCGTAAATTAAATTGCAGACGATGCAAATCAAAACCTTCTTTGTCTTTCTTTGACACTCGCCGAAATTAATTTTATCGCAAGCAAAAATATTTTTTTGACTTCTATTGAAAAATTAATTCTCCATTTTTTATTTATGTTAAACATAAGTATACTTGAATTTTTTTTTATATAAATTTAGATTACATATTTTAAGATCTATAAAATTTTTAT